CAGGAGAGACCCTAGTACCCTAGTTCTAATTTCTGGACTCTACCTCCCCGTTCCCTTCACCTTACCTTCCAATTTTCTGGTCTGGCAGCAGGAGCTCTGGATGGGTGCGTCCTATCGGGTCATCATTTTCCCTGGGTCCCCCTATCCTCTATGATCTTGTATGACATAAGTGAGTTTATAGAAGCCAGAATTCATGTTAGTGAGGGTGGGAGACTGGGAAGGGATAGCGGTAATGGTGGCACAGCAGGAAAAATGTAACTCATGCTGCTAAATTGAGGAATTACTGAATTGCTGCAGAATTTTTTGTGTGTACTTTCACTAAAACACCCCCCAAAATACATAATCATAGTATTTTTTAAAAGGGGAACAATGTAGAGGAAATGAATTAACTAGATAAGGGTCAAGGATTAAAAGTGACTTAAAATTTCTCAGAAAGTAACTTTATTGAGATATAATTCACATAGCGTAAAAATCACCCGTGAAAGTGATCACCCCTTCAGTGGTCTTTATTAGATTGATGGAGATCTGTAACCATCCTCAGTGTAAGCTTTGGACATTTCCATCATCCCAACGAGTGTCTCACATTTGAGGTTCAAATTTCTTCTAACGTTGAATATTTTTAGAATGAAGAATCAAGTTATAAAGACACAAAACATGAATGCTGGCCATTGGGGAAAGCTTGCTTTATGCTGTGAGAAATAAATCAAAGGGTGTCATAGCATCTTTAATTCTTTATTTTATTCGTGACAAAGTCAATCAGTACATGGGAGTCTTCAGAGATACCTACACACGTGTATTTAAATAAAAACAGAAAAAGCATTCCATTCTAAGAGTCGAGTTTAGTGGTGAGTTCTAAGAATGGTGATTAGCACATATAGTTTATTTACTGTAGAAAAGTCTCCGAATTCATAAAATGTAATTTGCCCATTTTTCTACGTCTGAAAATCCAGCTGCAAAAAATTTAAAGAGATCTTTTTAAAAGCACGGGGTCTAAGATGAGCACAGCACATCATGAATTATGAAGGCCACTGGCAATGCTCTAATGAGAAGCAGATCTACGCAGTGCATTATCAGAATGCAGTGTTCTCCCTGGGCAGGGGCTGCTCACAAAGTAGGAAGGGAAGGGTCATCTGACTTCAGTTTTCTCCCTTTGTCCACTGGCGTCCACATCTGGAGCGGCTGAGAGGGCCACTGAGTATAGGAAGTGACATGTCCTTTGGAGCCGGACCTGTGGGCAGGCAGACTGGGCAGTCTGCTCTGTGCAGGGACCACACTGACTGATCAGTGAGGAAGACTGAGTTTGCCTTTGAAGCGCTCAGCCTCAGGACTTGCTTCCAATCTCTATCCCCATCTTCCTCCTGTGGGAGTTCTAGTTTTCTACAGGTGTCTGTATGGCCTGTCTCCACGAGGTCTTGTGTTAATCTTTCCTAAGAGTTCCTTCAGAAATGTCTCCTTCAAAGGTAAGATGCGCATTTTCTCAGGGATGTTTTATGACTAAAAATCCCAAGGAGCGAATGCAGGCACTGAGAGAGGAGTGAGGACATTTTGCGGGTGGAGAGAGGCCAGATTGGCATCCTCCAAATCATATGAGAAAGTGCCTACCTGTAGAGCCACCTCTACCTAGAGGAGTGACACCTAGACCCCCCGAGCCTGGTGTGGGGGCCCCCAAGCTCTTTGAGCTTCCTGCAGTTCTCAATTAGAGTCAGTCACCGACACTGGGTGCCAGCCTTCAGTTCTTGACAGACTTGAAGCAGCTACAAGGACAGGATTTAATTCACAGGCAGGGAGAATGTCAACAACAACACTGTGTTTTTCCATATGCCTTTCATTTTATTTCCAATGAAGCGCTGCAGCTGTAGCCAAATGGCTTCTTTCCACGTTAAGGCACGACTTCAATTTTAGGGTCTGGGAGTTTGGTTCATCGTCAAAATAAAGTGTGATTGTTGAAATTAGGATACATCTTTGTTCAAGCGTCTTGTAAATGTTAGGATTTTGGTGGGATTGCTCTAACATATTTAATATTCAAGATCTTAAAAAAGAAAAAAACCTAATGCCAGTGTAAACATGCTTCAGATACATAGGTCTATAAAATATTGCACATAAAATTTTTTTGGTATTTCTGCATTGTAATTTTTGTTATTATAAAAAGGATATAAAATTGTGCAGACTTAATGAATTTGGCTGGTCAGTTTTATTTCAAATAGGACAATAAGACACATGACTATGGATTATTTATAAAGATTTTAAAAATCATATCCTTTTGATGGTTAAATTCAAGATGGGCACATAGCTTATGTGACAGATGAATGTCCAAAGTTGTGTACTATAATGATTAGCAGTTAAAAAAAAAAAAGTAAAGTTGGAATAAGTAATTTTAACTAAAACCCCACATTCCTATTTTCTAAGTTAATCTCACACCGATATAACTTTATATTTCCTTATTTATGTTCAAAATATTTTATTCAACTTCATAATTATGAGAGATAGTAGCAAAAATAGGTATTTAATCTATAGCTAAATACTGGTGTTGATTTTTATAAACATTAAAAGTACTGCGCTTAGCAAGATTGCTAAATTACTTTGTTTAACGAATGAACTCCAGAAATCCTAGCATTGCTTTGAAGCACCAGGCAAGGTGAAGAGTGGCTTGGAATTTGTGAAGTGTTAACAAATCTAATGTAAATACATTTTCTGAAAAGGCGAAGGGAAATTTAAATGGAATATATTAAGCTAAGTATTGCAGGTGTGAGCCCCTGTAAAAGTGTACAATTCAAGCACTTTTCGACGACATGGATTCCTGACACCAATTTTCTTTTTCTTCATACTGTCTAAACTCTAAAAGAAGCTTCTCTTCAGTGATTGATCTGCACAGAAAGGGTTATCTTAGAAGGAAATTGAGTGATCAAAATAAAACAAAACCCACTAGCTAACCAAATCTAAATTCCCATATCCTCTGGGAACGCAGATTTTCAACCAAGAGAAATGGAAAATAAATAAATAAATTTCTGTCCTCACTCACTAGGTTAATTCTTTGTAGTTTGCAAAGTACTTTCACAGTACCAATAACAACATATTGCGTGTCTCCCTGAGCCATAGTGTCATAAGAAATGTTTCTTTTCCATAGGGAGGTGTCAAATATTCCATGGATACAGTAGTGCTGGAAGGTTCTGTCCTCATCCACCTTCCACATTTTGTTGTAATTCAGACATGTCATCTTTGCCACTTAAATTGGATGTACCTGGAAAGCAACCAAGTTCACGTTTACATCTGAAAGTGTCTATCAAATACAGAATGACAAAGGAAATCTTCCAATTCTGATGATTGCTTCTATAATGTTGAGGATGTTGCCTTTCCCCAAAGGGTCTTTGGACTCCCTTGGCAACTCCTCCACAGCACGGCTTAGAGGAGGTGTTATTTGCAGGGCCCTTCCATCTCCGAGCTCACAGGCAGGATCCAGAAAGCCAGTCTAGCGAATCCTTATGTTCTTTCTTTCCTGTGAACAGAACCAGTGTTGGGCTTTTTTGCGGGTGCGTAAGGGAGTCTTTGTTTTTCCTTTTCATGCGCCTGGGGTTTTGTCGCTTGTCAGTTGTTCTCTGTCAGTCATATCATCTTGGGGAGGTCGTGCTCGATCAAAGAATCCACACTACAAAGAAGAAAAACGGCTCATAAAAAATAAGTGATTTATCAGCTGATCTCCCTTTTGATCCATTTCAAAATTGTCTCAGTTTTCAATATTTGCCACTTTCCTTTTGATTGAGGATTTTCCTCTGTTTTGTTTTGTCATTGTTATTCTTGTTTCTTGCTTTTGTTTTGTATGGTTTTCTGTATATGAAATCCAGGACAAGCACATCTCTAGAAAGAGTAACTGGATCTATAGGAAGAGTAAATCTATAGGAAGAGTAACTTGGGTAAACAACAATGAGTGTGAGAAAAGAGTGTTTGGAAATTGATTGTGGTGATTCCACAACTCTTCTTAATATGATCAAACCACTAAAGGGTATGATACGTAAAGTATATGCCAATAAAACTATTAAAAAATAAGTCATTCTGTGAACCCCTTCATTTCCCCCCTCATAAAAGAAAGTGCTCACTCTAAGGACACTAGGTAATAGTTTGAATTTTCACTTCATGTACATATTTTCTAAGGAACTTGGTGTTTTGTGCATACAACCTGGCCAAGGTTTCAAATTAGCAGGTGAAACCAATGTGTGTGTTAATAGTGAGGAATTCATGGCAGTTTCTAGGTTGGAGGGAGGGGTGAGAGGGGTGGAGTGGGGTGGGTGAGGCAAGTGGCCAAGTGACCTTCCTCTTGCCATGTAGTGGCTGAATGTCTGTTTTATACAGAGCATTTCTGGCCCTTGGGTATTTTCTTGGGATTGCGCCAATGTGTCTTAAGGAGTCCCCTTCTGCTTTCTGTAGGATTTTCTGCAGCCAGTAGCAGTAGTAAGTACTGGCCAGGAGGGGGCAATCCTCTCTTGAAGGTACTGTAGGAACCTTGGGTTGGACTATAGGAAGAAGTGAGGTGGTAAGGCTATAGTCGCTGTTCCCTCATGTTGGTGGGTCACCTCAATGTAGAAGAAAATGAGAAACAGAAAAGCATGGGCATCATAATTCCTTTCCATAGATTGACCAGCAATTTAGGGGACAGGCAATTCTAGAATCTTCATACTCTTCAATTTCAAATTAATATGCTGTCTAAGAGAACATGGTGTTTCCTGGAAACAAGGACACTTGAATAACAGAATAACACAAAAATCCATTTATCAAAGGTGTACAATATCTCACTTGGCTCGGAATGGCATAAGAAAGCCGATACATGATGTCAGGAAAGCCATGATTTGGCTCACAGAGATGAGGTTTTCTAAACTTATAAATCTATTAAGCATGTTGTATTTTGTTTAAACATAAAATACATTGTGTTTTTAGGGAATTTCAACAATAGTGGTTAGCTAAGATTTGACTGGGTTAATCCTGTTACAGACATGTAATTTTGACATTGTTTCTGGCTTGAAATAGAAAATTCTGTGAAACTTGGCAGTCACATAATTGTTGGGGCCAAAATTAATTCTTATTCTAGGTATCTAAAATGAACCCTAATAAAAAACACATTAAAGAGTGAATTAAGGCTTCCTAATGAAGATAGATTAATTTTAAAGATTCACATGCCCTATTTGGCCTATTTAATAAACAAAACCCAATTTAAAAAAAATCAGAATTGACTTAATAGCAACTGTGTATTTATAAAGAAAATTCTCAAATGCTTGCATATAGAATCATGTCAATAAAGAGCTTATAGCCTTGACTAATTAGAGAAGGCTTCATAGTAACATTACTGCTCCAAGCATACTGGAAAGGAGATCACAGGTTTTAGCTAATACTGCCTAACCTTCTATATATTTATTTACAAGAAATCTCAAGACGAAGGCAACTGCAAATACTGTGGCCTTCTTAAACAAGCAGACTGAATTTGCCAAAGCAAACAAGACACCATTTCCCCTTGATGCTTTTCAGACTTTAAAAAATTTCCAAATCACACCTCTAGCATTGCTTGCTTTTTGAAATCCCAAGCAATGTCATTCTAAATTCCCTTTGCAGCACATTTCCTAAAAAAAAAAAAAAGTAAATAAACTTACCTTCCATAAAGCTAAGGTTAAAATGGCCAGAACCAACAGTCCAAGAAGGATTGCTAATATGATTACCCATAATGGGATGGAGAAGGAAACATTCGGGGTTGCCCAAATCACTGAGGTCTTAATCTGAAATGGAAAACAAAGCAAATGAGCTCCAATTTGAAAATGATGGGGTGAAATAAAGCCAGAATTATGCAGACAGTGGAACTTGTGAAGGCCAGAACCTGTGTGAAGTGGAAACCTGCCAGAGAGGGAAAACTAATGCATTTCCCACTAGATCGAATGGTAGAAAAGTAGTAAGATGCATTTCCTGTCAAAGGTAGAAAACCTATGAGACTCAGAACAACAAGGTACCTGTGTTGGGTTCTGACTGTCACGGGTTTCACTGTATAGTATTAGAGTTCTGAAAGGATCTATTTAATAATTGACATTCAGGGGTTCCAGCACCCAGACAAGGAATTTTAAAAACTAACACATTGCTAGGTAGCAAAGGCCAAGTGAAATGTTGATGGCAGAAACTGGATGGGTGATTGCTTTTAATTACCACAGAAGTGCTAGAATGGGACTGGGTTAAGTTGGACCAGGAACCGACGAGGTCACCACTGAGGAAAACTCTACTTGGCAAATATGCCCAGAAGTAGAGACTCCCAGAATGCCTACTTTGCCCAGACATGCTGTGGCACAGAACCGAGGTGAGTCATTGTAGACGTCCAAGAGGGTTGTGGTTATTATCTGCCATTGAGTCAACTCTGTTGTGTTGACCTGAAATTATGACAGAATGAAATGTCACCTGGTTTGGCATCGTCCTCACAATCACCAGCATTGTTGTGGCTTTTGTGTGAATCCATCATAACTAGGGTCTATTGATCTCCCTGAGCCTCTACTTCACTTATCTGTCTCATCTGAAATTCTGGTGACATAGATTCTAGCACTGTAACCCATAGCTCATTGCCACTGTGTTGATTCCGACTCATAGTGACCCTGTGTAGGGTTTCCAAAGCTGTATGTTTTCCAGGGAGCAGTTATTGTCCTCTTTTTCCTGTGGCACACTTGGTGGTTTTGGACCACCAACCTTGTGATTCGCAGTCTAAGGCTTACCTGACAGTACTACCTGAATTCTAGCATCACAGCAACATGTGGACCACCAAGGCATGACAAACTGACAGATGGATGGATAGGTATGGAATCCTATTATCCAGTCTTTCCATTTTAAGTATGAGAAAACTGAAACCCAGAAGGGCCAAATGATTCACATGTCTCTGCAAGGTCTCATCGCTTTAACTTTCCTATTAGTGTGTGAGATCCTATCGGCGTGTGAGAAGAGTCATCTTATATTTTATAGAAGTAACTGCAGCGACTGAAGTGACAGTTTAATTGTACTGATGGGTTGGGGCTTCCTTAAAGCCCTCATAAAGCAAACAGCTATAAAATGAAACCTGTTTTTCCCTCACTACTGCCAAATAACTTGGAGGGGATGAAACCTTCAGGAAAAGGGAAGGGTAAAATCATAACTGAGGTGGGGGCTCCAGAAATTGCCCTCGGTGCCATCAAGTCTCATAGTGACTCAGAGTGAGTGACCCCATGTCAAACGGAACGGAACCTGCTCGTTCTTGTGCCAGCCTCACAATTATTATGTGTGACCCCATTGTTGCAGGCACCGTCCAATCCACTTCCTCAAGGTCTTCTTCTTTTTTGTTGACCTTCCACTTTAACAAGTATGATGTCCTTTTCCGGGGACTGGTCCCTCCTGATAATATTTCCAGAGTGCATGAGAAAAACCTCACCACCTCATTTCTAAGGAACCTTATGCCTGTACTTCTATAGCTCTTTACAGAAGCAAAAACCATCATCTTTTGTCTTTAGGCTATCTGGTAGGATCCAACTGCGGACCTTGTGGTTAGGAAGCCCAACATATAACTCACTATCCTACCAGGGCTCTTTGGAATGGGAAAGAGATAGAGTAGAATTGAACCCCCTATTAGGAGAACTCTATTTAGCTCCTAACCAAAAGATTGGTAGTTTGAACCCACTCAGAGGTGCCTTGGAAGCAAAGTCGGGTGATTAGCTTCTGAAAGATCACTGCCCCCACAACCCTGTGGAGTGTGATTCTGTTCTGATGCACATGAGGGCAGCATGAGTTGGTTGAGTTCATTTATGCCTTGGAAAGACAGGCCCTTCTGGTAAAGCACCAGTTAGGGACTCATGTAACATAGTCAATCTGTAATTGGCAATGGGACATTTCATCGGCATGTGGAAACCAGCTACGTTGAGACTGCAATGAATGAGATGAAACAAAAAGTGTGGGATTGTTGAATGTAAGAATGATGACCTGCTCTGTAATCCTTCCGCCAATTCACAGTGAAAGTTTAAAAGATTTTTTTTCTAACAACATCTTCTGTGTAGATAAATGATAGACTTCGCGACATAAGCACAGTTGAAATGACCAAGTGATCATTTTGTGGGAGAACGATGAGGCTTTCTACTTCTGTAAGCAGTTAGTCTCAGAAATGCACAGTGCTACCCTGTCTTATAGGTCACCATGAGTTGGCATTGATTCAATGGCAGTGAAAAATGCAAAGCATGTTTGCTATTTAAATATGTATTCCATGGAATACCACATTATTGTTCTGGGGAAGCTTAGGCAAGAAATAAGATGGTGAAAATCACACACACACACACACACACACACACAAGCTTTGCTATGTCTAGTACTTTAATGTGCCTTGTAGCGTGCTAAGCCTCCCAAACCCAATGGAATTTCTAGCGGGTATAAACAATGTGCTCACCTACAAACCCAAAGGTTGGGTTTTTGATTCCACCCAGATGAACCTTGGAAGAATGGTCTCATGATGTACTTTTTTGGGGGGGAAAATGGCTTTTAACAATTCTGTGGAGAACAGTTCTACTCTGACACACAGGGGTCACCATCAGTCTAAGCCAACTTGGTGGCAACCAAAACTTTTGACACTCAAAGCAACTAACTCAGATGCTAACTTTACAATAAAGTGTTTGAGAAGAGGATAGTCTATACTGCTTGAGATTTAAAGTTTACATTGAAATCAGTTTAAATGAAATAAAATTACACATTCCAATCTTTCAGCATACTGGCCTGTTTCCGATACTGGGATCCACATGTGGTTTCTAGAGGTCAGAGTAGACAGTTCAGCTCTAGAACATTCTGAACAAGCTCACACAACGGTGTGTCTGACTCAATTGCCAAAGTTCCTTATTTTAAGGTTGTTACACCAATACGAGAACTCTAGACAATGACTAAGGAAGACCAGACAAGAACGGATGCATTTCACTTATGGTGTTGGTGATGAATACTGAAAGTCCCGTGGACTGCCAGAGAATAAATAAATCTCTCTTGGAGAAAGTATACCCAGAATGCTCCTTAAAAGCAAGGGGGTTGAGACTTCACCTCATTTCATTGGTCATATTATCAAGAGAGGCCGGTCCCTGGGAAAGACATCATGCTCAGTAAGCAGAGGATCCGCGAAGAAGAATGCCCTTAAGAAGATGGATGGCCTGTTGGCGTGGAGTAGGGAACCAGTGGAGAGGTCTGAGGGGCCGACCCCAATCCCCACTCCTACGTGGACACCTGCCCCTCCCCGCAGAAGAATTTATTTCAAAGGACAGCACTGAATCTGCAGTTCCAGGAGAGGGACATATCTGATCGGAGCACACAGGAGCAGATGAAGGGGGAGGAGGAGAGTGTGGAGCACATCCTGGCCCACCAGGGCGTGAGGACGATGTTCCCGATTACAGCAGCCAGTCAGAGAGGAGCACATGGCCGGCCCCACTATGAGACATGATGTCCCTCACTGACCCATAGCCCTACAGGGGACAACACCAGAGACACAGTGTGGGAATTGTACCTGATCTTATCCCACTACACTGAGGCAAAACACTAAGGGGGTGCAACAAAATAGCAAGGGAATGGAGTGGCAAGGTCCCCAGGGAATGCTGAAGGTGGACTTTGGGGCCAGGGCTTGGTGCCCCAACAGACTGGACTGGAAAA